GAGAGAGAGAGAGAGAGAGAGAGAGAGAGAGAGAGAGAGAGAGAAAAAAGAGGCAGAGCCAAATAGAGAGAGAGAGACGGGGAGTGAGACAGAGAGAGATGAGAAAGCGAGATAGAATGAGAGAGAGAACGCACCTTTTCTTTCCTCGATTTACAACTGTTGTTGGAAACAATGGCCCCGGCGACTTGGTTGATGATCTCAAACCACAATACGACGACTCGTGTCGCGACGCGCGAAAAGGGAGGTGCCGACGCGTGAAAGGGCAAAATCGCGAATGGAGACGTGGGAGATTGCGACGCGAAGGAGATGGCGAGGCGAGGGATATGGCGACGAGGGAGAGAGAGAGAAGCGAGGCAAACGGCGGAGGAGACGGCCACGAGATGGCTATGTCCCTCGGCGACGAGATGGCTGTGTTGCTGGCAAGGGCGGGTGGTCCGGGCGGGCGACGGGCATATTCGGCCGTGAGGGTTGGCGACACCTGCGATTGCCTGGTGCTTCGGACGATTGCAATGCTCACCTGCAAATTCGCGGAATGGCGCCACCGTCATTCGAAAGGCGGATACATCCGAGCGGGGCCCAAGAAACGAAAGTGGGCGGGAAAAGCCACGCCCGATGACGCGTTGGAACCGTCGATATCACGGTAAAATCCGCGCGGGCACCGATATTCAAAAGTGGGCGGGAAAATTTGCGCCAGGTGATGCGTTGGGACCGTCGATAGCACGGTGAAAAAAGGCCAGTCCTCTCGCAATCACGGCCCGCCCTCCCGCGACGGTTTCGGACCGTGCGATTTCGTGAGGGGGGTCTGTCAAAAAAGGGACCGCCTGATGTCACAGCCCCCGACGCGGCAGTACCTGCGGCGGGCAGCTGAAGGGCCCCTCAAGCCCCACTCACTGCACTCTCCGTTCTAATGTCGGGCACCAAACGAATGGGGGTGGCTGTCACAGTCGTTCGCTGGTGTCATTTCTTCCGTGTGCTGCCTTTGCGACGCGTCCGCCATCGCTCGAAGTCGCCTGCATCATATCGCAGGCCCCTTGCGCATACAGGCCCTCGTTCTTCCAGCAATCGTCGATAGCCAGGGGCACTAACGAAAAGGTCACGCGAATGTAGACCTTGCGGGTCGTCCCGTTTGCGCTGTGCTTTCTTGTGTTGGCTGGAGGCGTTTGTCGACTCGCAGGTCAGTAAGAAGCCCACGCCCCCTGCTCACCCCTTCACCATTTCAAGCCCACGCCCCCTGCTCACCCCTTCACCATTTCAAGCCCCCACCTCTTCCCATTGCCCTTCCGCTCCTTCGACCGTGCAAGTCTTGTTCTCTGCCACCACCTGCTCCGCCAATCACGCGCACACGATCTTGAGCGCACGATGCTCACAACGACGGAAAACCCCATGCAGTGACACACGCTGACGTCATCATCTTGCACATGACGTCAGCGACGGGCAATGGCTTGCGGCTTTCACAGTCGTCGGCCTCGAGTCTTGGCGTCCTCAACATCGCTTGTTTGCGTCCTCAACATCGCTTGTTGGCGTCCTCACCATCGCTTGTTGGCGTCCTCAACATCGCCCTCTACTCTTGGCGCCCTCCATCGACCGGATCTGATGTGTGGAGAAAGTCGCATCGCCCTCGAGTCTTGTCGTCCTCGACATTGCTTGTTGGTACACTTTCGTGGACCCTGGCTCGCGGGTCGTCCTCCCCCAGTCTACTAAGGATATCGCAATGCAGTCGGTTGTGCGATTAGTCTTCAACATCACAGCCTGCTCCGTCTATCACGCACGAGTCGACATGCGCGCGATCTCCAGTCCACGATGTCCGCAACTCACAACCACGAAAGTTCCCTTCCACTGGAATTCGAAATGGCCTGCGGCTTTCGCAGTCAAGATCGTCGGACGCCTCCGACGACCGCATCTGACGCGTGGACGAAGTTTCATCGCCGTTGCTCTCTGGCGTCCTCAAAATCGCGGTATGTGATCACCGCTGCGATAACACATCACGCGATAGACGTCAACACCGGAGACGTCATCTGAATAACGCGTGTCGATCGACTTGAATCCCGTCCATCCATCTCCGGTGTTGACGTCTATCGGACGATCTGTTATCGCAACGCTGATAGCTGGAAGCCTCACGACAAACGCGCACCTCCAACAGGAATCACCCGTGTCTCACTCACAGCCAACAGTGGCGAAGCCACCCGTCCACAACGTTCAACGACGACCCGTTGCGCACAAAGGATACCCATGGCGAATCCGAAACATCCCAGATTACCGCCGATCCCGCGACATCCCACTGCCAAGTGCCAACTTCGAACTCATTTCCGATTGACTCGGTGATTGAACATGTCTATCGCGGTTGTGGACGATATCAGAATCTTTTTCTTGTTGTCTTGAACGTTCTCTGTCTCATCGCCTGTTCTCGCACACGCAGCTAGCAATGAGGATCCGCCACGCAACCGGGCGAGAGACGCCGGACACGCATCGGCAACATTCTGGATATGGAACTAGCGGTTACAAGTTCCATCACGCCCACAGGAAAACTTCACAGCACCGCCGCCCGTGCGGCAGCCCGTCACCTCGCCACGATTCGTTTTGGGCGAACTCTGACGTGGACAATCCTCGCGACGATTGCAGTCTCGAAATCTGAGTTGAATGAACGCACAATGACCTCGTGGAACGATCAGCTCTCGATCCACGCCGATCAYATTTCGATTCCAATTAATCGCAGCCTCGTTTTCCAGAGCAGCTTAGGGAGGCGTGCGCGGGATTGCAGCGGGAGTGAGAGAGTGCTGTTCGTGCCACTTGTTCCGGATGGAGTTCGGATTCATCCAAGCT